ATGTAAACCATAACTGATATATATTGAACTTGCTATTACAATGGTTCAAAAGATCATTTAACTTTTCTACTGAGCGCTAATTTGTTATCGCGAAGTTTTCGCGTTGACACGTTGTCAATTTTTTGAAACAACTAGCTGTAATATAGATTTTTGTTATTAAAAGTTTCTATCAGTGACGATAGTCCGTGGATAAAAGGGAATTATGGCCAAAGGGGATACTACATTGTTAACTACGAAGACAGCAACTGGAAGGCTCTCAAAGACCAGCTAAACAAAGACTTTACAGTACTGAAATCTATTCATTCCAGAATGTTTTTTTCTCTCATTTCTTATTATTTTTATTATTTTTATTATTTTTCTAAGGTACTGAATACTACAGACCGTGCAGGTCTGATTTTTGATGCATTCATTCTGGCAAGGTAAGAACTTTTAWAGCATTGTAGTAAAGCATTGAAGTTTTTGTAGCATTTTGCGAGAATGATTGGCATTTTCACCATTTCCCAGAACTAAAAAAAGTGAAAGAATGGAAAAACATGAAAGGGACGAAAAGAAAACTGAAGGGAAGGGAGGAATAGGACAAGAGTAAAAGAAGAATTTTCACGATTAATTCAATTCTGAAAGTGTTCATAAAACGTCTCATTCTAATTTCAGTGGTGGTGACATTGGCTACGATACAGCGTTCAACATTACTACTTATCTTAAGAAAGAAAAGGATCTTYTACCATGGGAAATGCTGATGGGACGGATCAATCAAATACGAAGTCTACTTTCGCACACCAGTTCCGTCTACAAAAAACTAAATGTAATTTTTATTATATTAATCGACATATGGATATGTTTAAAAACATTTGGCCTTTTATTATTATTTATCTTATATTTTATTATTTATCGCATATTTATTGATTTATCTGATCTTTTTCTTTGACAGAAATACTTGATACATCAAGCTAGCGATCTTTACAGRAAGCTTGGTTTCTCAACGTCTGGAAACCATTTGGACATGTAAGATAAAAATCTTTACTTCTCTTTGTTCACGACTGTTCAATCGGTAACTTGAACCAGATGGCATTTATACCACTCGCTCTACCCCACTCACCTTAATGTTAGTCTCTTGGTGATATACCATACCTTCAACGTTATGCTACGTTAGAKTTTTGAAGGAGGATTTTTTTATTCACTTTGTCAATGATTTTCTCAACAGATTTAAGAGACGTCTTCTCCTTCGACTGTTCTGCAGTGCTGATYTCCCTTCATGCGTCAATAATGCCACTCGACGATTTGCTGAATGGATGAAAAACCCAAAGCAAAAGTAAGCAATACATTAATAAGAGTAAATTACTCTCTCTGTTATCATGACGATCATCATTATTATTATCATAACAATCATCTGTATTACCATCACARTGTCGCATTMTAGACTWGTCCACTCTTTTTATCACTTTTAAACTGATTTATTTATTCACTCTCACTCACTCAACCAGTCTAATAAACAACTTCATTATTCTTTAATATTTCAGGATTGCTCCAAATCTCCGTGAAATAGTATTGCAATACGGAGTTGCAAATGGTGGAGTCAAAGAGTGGGACTTCGTATTCAACCAGTACCTAAAGGGGGGAACACCAAATGAACAACAAGACTTGATACGTGCAATGGGAGCGACAAAAGAACCTTGGCTCCTTACCAAGTAAGCTGTTAAAATTACTGACAACACTTCCTCCCGTCCAGAAAACTCCTAATTTGATGTTTTTAGTCCTGTACAATCTGGTGAGATATCACCCCCCCCTCCCCCACGATAATTTTAACTTCTTTCCTCGACCAATGGAGTAAGCTCTGATACACTATTATCTTTAGATATATGGAATACGCATTAGACCCGAAAAAATTCGCAAAGAACAAAGTACGATACGTGTTTGGCTACGTCACAGCAAATCCAATTGGAAACAAAGTTGCTTGGGATTTTGTTCTTCTAAATTGGAATAAAATAAGCAAAAGGTAAGTCCATCCTATGTGTGTCAATTTAAGCTAGAATATAAGTACAAGATGACTGGAGAATCTTGATTCCAAGATGGCGGACGACGCAGTTCCTTCCCATTATGCCTTTCAAGAGTGGCAAATAATTGGGACGAGTCACACCATAAAAGTCTCCCTAGAGAATTGTCGAGACAACCTTGATATCAGAGTTTTGCTTTGCATGTGTTTAACAAATGATTTGATTTTAGATTCGGTAGCGAGATGCTTACGTACCGACGTCTAGTCCCAATGATAGCAAAATACTTCAATACTGACTACGAACTTCAAAAGGTGAGTGATGCACTGTTCTATTGAAGATTTTAGGTGATTTTAAAATTACTCAGTGGAATTTCGATTCTTGGTTTACGACAAACGAAATAACGGTGTTCGTATCTTGAAAACCTGCCCTCATCGCCCTATCAGTAACAAAATAATGTAAAAAATCAAACTTTGTCAAAACTTAAAAGTAAAAAAAACTTAAAAGTAGGAGTGTTCACTTAMCTAAACGCAAAATCTCTACTCACTTGCTAATCACGTGATTAATATAACCAATCAACAGTTAGAGGAGTTAACAAACAAGTTCGTGAAAAGGACTGGTATCAAGCTAACGGCCATGGAGCAGACCGTCGAAGGGGTGAAATCAAACATCCACTGGCGTAAGAAGAATACTGAGACAATTGAAAAATGGCTAACCAAATACTTAACCGACAACAAAATTCAATAGAGGTGGTAGTGAGAGCTGGTACTAATGKGAAATGGATGCGTATAGAACAAGCACATTACCATAAAGACTTAAGCTAGGCAAACGTTTTGGTGTAAGGATATTTCTAGACGGTTACTGACATGACTACTGCTTTTTTAACTGTAAAATTTTCTCAGTGTTTTRCCTACAGTTCCATGATCATAACCATTTTAATTGTATTATGAGATCAAAGGCTTCGCTCAAGCAATTCTATTCAACCGACAGAACATCTTCCAGACCWTCTCAAACCGTCGGCGTCTTTGATACAGCAACGTTATATTTTAATTTGTACATATTTGATCAAAAGTTACCGAGTTAATTAATTTTGATCAAACACGAGCCGATGAACAGCATAGTATGATTTAAATTGTAAATTTGTGCGTTACTAGTATCACTAGTATAGATTATAGCAATTCTGTCCAATAATTCATTACATTTGAAAATAGTGATATTTATAAAATGATGAGATAAATAATTCTATGTTTGTGTGGTTCATGTATTGTGGTGTGATAATATCCACGTGTTGACGGTTGATTATATTTGCTATGCTTCGCCACGGCCAGTCAAAGGAAACTGGTAAAGGCGGTTCTATCAATGACCTATACCCTTACAGGTACCTGCCAATAGCCGACCTTTTGGTCATGCTTTTTTCTCTTAATCTATKCATTGAAACGATTATAAATTCGCAAGAAAATTAATACTCTGCATAAGATTCCTTATTTTTATCTTCAGATTTCACATCATATTATACAGGACTATAGGTCTTTTTTTGCATGATATTCAACATTTGATTTGTGAAAATCCGCTTCAATGAACTTGTTCAACACGCACCGGCAAAGTGCTTCAATTAACAGACAACAATTCGACGACTTTTATTTTTAAAAGAAATAGCTAGCCGCTTTCCGATCGACATCGCCAGACATACAAATACTCAAATCATTTCATGTCTACAATCTGATCGTTTCAAAGCCTATATTGATCCTATGTAAGGAATAAAAAGGGTCTGCTACGTTATTACATGAATTAGTAGAARATTTCTTTATTCTTTATGGGTGAAAAATACAGTAAAGTACTTTGGCGGGGTATTGTTAGGGAGTCGCGACCCTGAAGCTGGTAATGTGCCAACAAAAGTAAGCAAATCAATCAATTATGTATGCTCAGAATTGTTAAATGAAGCTTGAAAYTAGTGAGACATTGTATTGTTGGCGTGAACATTAGTCAGTTGGATCATAGCTGTGCCAGAGGTAAGATCTAATCACACTTGACGCCTTTGCTACAACGTGGAATTCTTTTAAAAAGAATTTCATCTTGTCATTTTTCCTCTTACTGACCTTAAACATGTTTTATATATCATACAATAAGGGGAACCTTTTTAGTCCGATTTTTTCAGGAAGAAAACTTGTCTCTTTCGCGAATCTACACAGAAGAGGGAGATTAAAACGAGAAAGTAAACCGAATGGAAATAGAACTTTTTCTTCATTTGCCAGAGTTTTCTTTAAAGTTTTTAAGACCTCGGTAGAGTGAAGGAATAAAATCAGTCATAGACATTTTTAAAGTCAAACGCTACAGATGCATGAAATGGGCAAAAAAAAGTGTTTACACATACGTGTGAATTTCCATCAACCACCTCGAACAATGTAGCACCTGCGATCTAATGTAAATTCGGGCTTACTTTGTGTTTATATGGTCGTCTGTGGAWCGTCTAGGTCTTTTCAGAGATACRCAGACAAAGTACAGTATGCAACCATTAACAACTGCACCGATTGATGGAATCATCGTCTATGCAGATCTAGACAACATGAAACGAACCGTAGACGACCATACAAACGACCGAAATTTCGGGATTCGCACAACTCATTTGGATATTCCAATATTTCCATTGTGCTCTGGACAAGTACTAAATTTCTGGTAATTTTGTTTCATTTTCAGCCATGGCGAAACCCTCAAAACGACTGTTCGCGGTTCTCTCCCTTTTTGTTCTTCTGCAGCAGTTTTCACCAGCCTTCACTGCCGACTTGTCAAGGCATAGAATCAATCACTCCAAGAAGAAGAAAACAGATCAAGCGAAAGACAGAGATGAAAATAATAATCAAGGTTTGTATCTCAAAACCATTCTGATTTTAACGCGAGAGCGTTTTTATAATCGATTGTTTGTACCAAGATAACAATAGAATTACAGATTAGTTCATCCTCTAGATCCATGTTTCAATATCTAACTGTTTCCTTCCTTTTGGTCAGAAATTCAAGAAAGCAGTGAAAAGCGATCAGCCCGGAACAAAGTACTTGGAACAGTTCTTAGAAAATTTTGGAAGCTCATTGGAAAAGACACTGTTATCAAGAAGATCAATATTGTTGCAGATGTGACTTCGACAATAACCTCAGCTGCAAGCATTGGTATTACCGTTACCAAAGCCATAAGTGGATGTACTGCTATTGCTCCAGCACTCACAGAGAATTGGGATAAATATCAGAAATTAGATGAGGAATTCCGGACACTGAGTACTACAATCGACCAAATCAACCTTCAAGGTAATAAAAAAAGCCTGTTACCTAGTGCTTATTGATAATTACTTCAATGCAATTTTATAATTGAAGCTCCTCTGCAAGCTCCTTCAAATACAGGGAGATACAGGGAGACGGTTTTTGTCGACTTGAGTGTCAATCAATCAGCTAAAGCTGCTAATTTGTATATTGTCCTTCGAAGCCGAAACTCGACATGACTACTACATCAACTCAAGCTTCTACGAGTACAGAAGAACCAGAGACAAACTGCAAGAGATTGCAAATGAAAAAGAACGAATATTCAATTCACTTGGACCTGAAGTGTTAGTTAGTGCCAAAAATGCTTCTTTCGAAATTGAGGTAAGCCAACTTACTCAGAGTATATCAGCATATCAAATGATAAAATTCCATTCCTTTAGAAGCCATATATGGTAATCTTACCTTATTTGGCAGTACGTGTGGACAATTTTCAACTTTTAAAGCTTGAATAGCATGAAACGTGCAGATATAATAGTGCAATTCCTTTAGAATAAAATGCTTTAAAGGAACTAGCTCAGAACGACAACTCCTTATCTTATTTATTATGGTTTTGATAGCAACTCGTCAAAGAAAAAAACGCAACTGGTGAAGAAATCAAAGACACTGAGATTTATCTGGGATATAAGGAGGCTCTTGACCATGCTTTGGAATCGCTGTTTCCATCTCTAGGCTTGGCGTTTAAAGGAATCAAATACTTTTGGAAATTGTATCTCAGAGATACAGTCATTGGGAAGAAAATCTCTGGGGTAATCATTACTACTTACTATTGGAGCTATCGTAAATGTTACGAGATGGATATATAACATGGCATACACTATGTATATATAATATATTGATAGTTCATGAGGRAACCAATCAGCGTTGCCGATCAGGTCATGTGATTGGTCTTGTATATCCTGATATGCTCGTGTTTCTAGGCTTGCTTCTCTCGTGTTTTTRAACTTCCACCGTGTTTATATCAGAGAATAGAGACACGCGCGCCGTTTTATATTTCTTAAATAAAAAGTAATGTACAAGGATTGCAGTTTATGGCTATCCTTTTGCATAATGACCAATTATCAAAATCATTCTGATATTTTAGCTACCTGAAACCATTAAGAATACAATCGTCAGTAGTCTGAGTAGCAGTGATCCTACCAAGCCAAGTCTTGGGCAAAGAATCAAGGCCAGTAGAATAATGAACACTAGATTTGGAAAGGGCCTACAGGCAATAGGAAACTCAGTTAAGTCTAAGTTGGTCAAAGCAGCCAAGGTCGTCAAGAGTATTGGTAAACGACTTTTACCTCTAGCAAATTTGGCTGGAGCGGGTAGGTATCTGTAGATTCCGACAGGCTTGTCCCATTTAAACAAACTCTTGGGAATATGACAGTTCTTCGTTTCCATGATATCCATCGATATACATGAGAGGAAAATAGATTAAAGAAGTCAGAGAAAGGCAAAATATGCACCCAACATCAGTGCCTCTCTATTGRTTTATGTTTTACTGTGACCTTACTTGTCCAACAGGAGTTTGAGGATTCACACTGCCGCGTCTTTATTTCTTTGTATAATATTCATTGTGTTATTTCCCTGTAGCGTTTGGTATATGGAATGTGTTCTCTCAAATCAAGGAATGCACAGACATGGCTGAAAACTCAAGGGAGAGCGTAGAGAAGATGACTGAAATGGTAGACAAAACAAAAGAAATTTTAAAAAGCGTGGAAGAATCTAATGATGAAATACAATCGGTAAATTTAGCGGTTATTTCTTTGGGCGTTTTTGTATGATTCTGAACTCTTCAAGAGGACTAACTCTAACTGTACCACTTTGCAGGCATTCGATGAAATCAATGGGTTTTCTTTTGACCAAATATTATTGGATGCTATAAGCGATCTGTTAAAAATGATGAGTGACSCCGCRATTGTACGTGAAACGGACAACAGACAAGAAATTATCGATGGATTGCAGGTAAGTGTATGCATCGCCTATACACTCCTCGTCCTTCTTCTTCTTCTTCTTCTTCTTCTTCTTCTTCTTCTTCTTCTTCTTCTTCTTCTTCTTCTTCTTCTTCTTCTTCTTCTTCTTCTTCTTCTTCTCCTTCTTCTTCTTCTTCTTCTTCTTTTATTACAGGCCTACATTAATGGCAAGGATATTGACAGCAAACAAGACAACAACAAGCTCATTATAAACAACTTGCAAAGAAATTTGAACGATGCCTTGCACAGCATTCCTTTCACTCTACAATGCTATACTATCAAAGGTACATGTTACTATTCTTGCGTGAAATTCGCGCTCTGATTGACTTCATTTCATGCTTTATAGAATAAGTATCCAGTTTTTAAAAACTTGCGATCTCTACTAGCTTTTCTTGGAAAATTAAGTGAATAATTGTTTTGTATCTTTATCATACGTTATTTTTAAACCAGGGCAGTTTTACAACAGTGTTAAACGTGACTGTGCTGAAGGTCGAGGATCAATGCAAAACATATATGAAAGGGTGAAGTCACTCAAAGGTATCGACGAATCGTCCAACAATTGTGCTGAGAGAACTGGAGAGCTGTTTCCACCGGTAAGATATAGTAAATCATTATGGCTAACACAGTATGCTACCCAGAACGTTGTATACTGAATAATTATCAAAAAGTCAGCTGGTTTGGTAGACTCATTTTCATCTGGCACGTTTTTTTGTTGTTGTTTTTTGTTTGTATGGGAAAGAGTAGCCGAGCCATCAATCAAGACACAGTTGAGCTTGCAAATTTTAGATACCCGTGAATAMAATCAAATTATTACTGTCCCATGTGTGGTAACGATATCTACCACATCAAGGTCAACCGCTAGCTATCTCGTTTTGATCCAAAAGGGAATGTGTATTGTTCAGTTACAAAGATTGAATTTTCTCGTTATCCTTCTTTAGCTTGCTGATGTCACAGCTTCCTGGGAAAAATGGGCGTCAGAAAAACAAACTTATAACAAGATTTGTCTAATGAATGACGACTGGGTGGTGGATAATGTCATAACACAACTTCAAAATGGAATGGATGAKCCCAAAAAAATCGCCGCTGCTATCGGCAAGGACCAAGACGCAGAAGATGAGATCAAAGCCATGATTGACATCCTTAAGGATGACCCAAGAGTTAATCAAGTACCARCACACAAACAACCCATGATCTGTTATCTTAGAGATCAAATGAATTTCAAAGCAGCTGCAGCACTGCCGATTTTAAATTCTAACCCTCAAGACAAACCAGTCACCGAGGAACAATACAACAACCTAGTGTGCCCTGCAGGAAGTGACGCCAGTTCAGGTTTTGTATGCCTTTAAAAAAGCTCAATACTCCATTTTTGAATTCATAGCAAGAAACCGCTGCTTTATTCCACAACAGATTCTCTTGCGCAAAGACCTCTTCAAACACAAAGAGAGCACGATAAAATGTCCCTATTACAATATCCTTGAAAATTTGTAGTTTCCCCGAGTTTAGACTACCCGGCAACCTACCTGTTACCTACTCTCCTGGTGTTACCGCTGTTTTACCCGTATTTACGTGTACGGGTAGGTTGCCCGAGCTCGTATACTGATACGTTGTCTTTAAGGTCTCTTAAAATCAACCTGAAAATCCTACACTATGAACCATTCCTTTTTCCATGTACTGATTTAAGAAATTGCATTTCAGATTCCAAGAAATTCGCCATCAAAAGATTGAAGCTGAAGAGGAACTGTGAAARAACTGGAGATGAAAAACCATGAATAAATTGATATTGAAAATTTTGCATGAAATCCTTAGTTTAGATTGCTTTTCGCTACGACGGATGGTTTGCATTGGAAGACCAAGCCGCTATCGTCCAAGCGTTTGAGGTTGTTAGTTAAACCCTCTCTCCCATTATGGAATGTAAGACTTAATAAATTGAGAAATAAAAGAATTCCGGCATTAATTTGATTTTTTTACGTGTAACTTCGGTTATATTTACATCAAATAGACGAACAACAAAAATATTAAAATAGAAATTATGATATAAAATAATAAAGAATGAAAGGTTAATTAATTTGAGAAAAAGATTAGTAGCGCCCATCTGGAGGAAATTTCGTTTTACGCAACCCTAAGGGGCGATCCATTAGAATTTCGAGGAGGGGGGGGAGGGGTCGGTTGCGCTGTAAGATTTTTTAAAAAACAATTTTCCTGCGCGGCCAGAAGGGCCGAAAAAAATTCCTGCAAGGCAAAATTTTGGAAAATCTCCCTCAAAAGTCTAATGGATCGCCCCAAGCATTTATAAAAAAAAGTTGTAATATTGTCTGCTTTGCATTATCAAAACCATTTTGTGATCGTGAGATCAACTCGCCAACTGAATTAGCTCGATTCAACTGGTAAACTATCTCCTCATTATCAAAGCGACAGCATCGATACGTTTGARTCAGCGATGTGATTATTTTAATCGATACATATTTGATCAAGAATGACATATTTTAAGTTTTGACACCTCGGTCAGAKATTAGCCGAGAGGGCAGACGTATTTCAAAGTTAATAGTGCGCGGCCAGTTACTACATTTAGGGTTGACCTCTTTATATAAGGAGAAAATATTGCTATCGATAAAAAATAACTGTATTTTTGTGTGCTTTATGTATTGTAGTGTGATGATATTTACGTGGTGATGGTTAATTATATTTGCTATGCTTCGACACAGCCAGTCTAAGAAAACTGGTTAAGGCGGTACTATCAATGACCTATACCCTTACAGGTACCTGCCAATAGCCTATCTTACGATCATGTTTTTACCCCGTAAAACTCTACATAGAGAAGATTAGTACTGCATGTTAGACTCCTCTTTATTTCTATCTTTAGATTATGATATCAGATTTTTTGAACAAACTTTCTTTCTTTTACGTGATATTCAACATTTGACAATTCAAAACAATTTTTTTTAATCACCTTGACTGCAGCACGTGCCAACGCTTGAGGCAACAATCAATAATCTGCCAACAATCGCGGGTTTTTTGGTAGATGGTTCCAACTGGATGTGTAACATTTAAAAAACAAGTACTCGTATAACAACAAGGTCTCGCATCACTTGATTTAATATCTTTCATTGAAGTCATTTCCTCAAGAACTAGGGGTTTTTCTCACCGTTTATACTACATTCAACAAACTCATTGGTCGAGAGGAGTTACAATGACAGCGMTAGTCTTSRACTCCTTATCAAATTTTGTTTCARTCTGCCGGTCATAAATATTATCAAATCAATGGCCATTTATATTCATACAATTTACATTCATACCGTCTATTTCTCCTGTGAATGGATGAAAGATTCTACTACTGCGGATCATCAGACTATTTCATGAATCACCAGACCGATTCTAATGGGTACATAAACACAAAAGCACTTGGGCGGYGTATRGTTAGGTGAGTCACGACCCTTATTAATTGAGGTAGTAATGACTGACAACATCAAACAGATCAACCATACCTATATGCCAAGAACTGCTATATAAACAAATTAAGACATTCTGGTATTGGCGTAATTGTCAGTCAATTGTTTGGATCAGAGCTGTGCCAGAGGTAAGATCAGCRATTSCAGTAGTATTTCCTATTAAAAACGATTTTGCCCTTAAAATAGCAATTTAAATCAATGCTTCCTTTCTATAAAAATCGATAATTTTGCTGAACTATAGCTCAAAAATGGATGATTTTCAGTGATTTTGGTTGGCTGAAGCCCATGTCTTTTTGTAAAAAATGGATGATTTTAATTTCAGTGATATTGGTGGGCTATAGCCCATACGTTTTGATCAAAAAAGGAACATCTTTTGATCAAAAATATGTCAGTTTGAGCGATTTTGGTGGGTTATAGCCCATGCTTTTTGATCAAAAACGGGTCATTTTAAGCGATTTTGGTGGACTATATCCCATGCATTTTGGCCAAAAAAGGGTCATTTTGACGGATTTTGGTGGGTTATAACCCATGCATTTTGGTCAAAAAAGGGCCATTTTGAGCGATTTTGGTGGGTTCTCAAGTGAGTTAAGGCCTGGGATTTTAGGCGATATCAAAAAAATTAAAAACGTTATATTTTAACTAACATTTACTGTAGAGGAATAAGCTTTGGTGRCATGAYGAGAATCARGATCCMTGGAATTTTTAAATATGTTTTGTCCAAATATGGAGGTCACGTGACCCAAAAGACGAAAAAACAGTAATTTCAAAATGGGGTAATGAGAATGTACTTTAATGAAAGTTTTTTTGATTTCAAAGTATTTAGTAGATTTAAACCAACAAGACCTGTCCTAGAATGGATGACTTTCTAAATAAAATAAGGAGAAAACAGCAGATTTTCAGAAGTGAATTTAGGTCACGTGACCTATTTTACCAAATATCTCCTTAACGGCAAGTGATGGACAACCATTCTAGGACAAGACTTGAAGACAATCTACTAAGAGATAATATTAACCTAAAACCGACATTTTCAATGTATGTTCTGGTTACCCCATTTTCAATTGAATTTCTTTCCATGGAAATGTCACATGACATGTCATGTGACCTGCCGATAGAGATTTTAACAGTCTTAAAATGTTAAAGTCGTTCAAAACTACAAACCTGCAAAYTMTTATCGAAATCGTTTGAGAATTAACTGAGATATAAAATTAAACCACTTTTATCTAATTTGCATATGCTGACCCAGGCCTTAACTCACTTGAGTTATAGCCCATGCATTTT